CTTCTAAAATTACTGAAATTCAATTCCTCATCTGGTACTCCTAATGCTTCTATTGCTCAAACAGGTAACAACCCGAAGGCCTTATCTTGTCGTTCAAATTCCAGTGTTACCCCATGGATCATTGATTCAGGGGCTTCTGACCATATAACAAGTTTTTCTCATTTATTTCAAACTTATTCACCCTGTTCTGGCTCTGAAAAAATCAGAATAGCCGAAGGTTCTTATTCTCCTATTGCAGGCAAAGGTTTGGTAAAACTTTCAAAAATTATTGATCTTAAGTCTGTCCTTCATGTCCCTAAGCTTGCTTGTAACCTTTTATCAGTTAGTAAATTGTCCAAAGACTCTAATTGTCGTGTTATCTTTTTTGAATCCTATTGTGAATTTTTGGACCAGAGCTTGGGGAAGATGATTGGCAGTGCTAAGATGATAAATGGTCTCTACTATTTTGAAGATGATATTTCAAGTAATAAAAAGGCTCAAGGTCTAAGTAGTTTTCGTTCTATCCCTATTAGAGAACAAATAATGCTATGGCATTTTAGATTAGGGCATTTTAGTTTCCCTTATCTTCAAAAATTATTTCCTATTTTGTTTAAAGGATTGGATTGCTCATCTTTTTATTGTGAAAATTGTTTTTTATCAAAGAGTCATCGTACTACGTATTCTCCTAAACCTTACCAAACATCAAAACCATTTTATTTAATCCATAGCGATGTTTGGGACCCTTCTAGGATCACAACTCTTTCTGGAAAAAAATGGTTTGTGACTTTTATTGATGATCATACATGTTTGTGTTAGTAGGTGTATTTAATGAATGAAAAATCTGAACCTGAAAAATTATTCAAGGATTTTTATATGATGATTGAAAATCAATTTCAAACAAAAATTGGCATTCTTCATACTGATAACGGCACTGAACACTTTAATGAAGTTTTAGGAAGTTTTTTAACAGAAAAAGGAATTTTTCACCAATCCACTTGTGTTGACACGCCCCAACAAAACGGAATTGCTAAAAGAAAGAATAAACATTTACTTGAAGTTTCTCGTGCCATCATGTTTTCGATGAATGTTCCTAATTATTTGTGAGGTGAAGCCGTTTTAACAACAACATATTTGATTAAGAGGATGCCTACTCGTGTTCTTAACTATTTTACAACCCTTGAAAGCCTTAAAAAATCTTTTCCTGAAACTCGGATTTATTCCAACCTACCTTTGAAAGTATTTGGGTGCACTGTCTTTGTCCATTTACCTAGTAGACTTCGGTCTAAATTGGATCCTCGGGCTGAAAAATGTGTATTTGTTGGGTATGCCCCGAATAAAAAGGGGTACAAATGCTTCAATCCGAAAACAAAAAAAAATGTTTATCAGTATGGATGTCTTTTTTCTAGAAAATCATCCTTATTTTTAGAAAACTTTTCTTCAGGGGGAGAAAGAAAGTGGAGAAAATTTTTGGGAGATTTCTACTAATATTCCCTTACCTAAAACTATTGTCTCACACTCTATTACTCCGAACACTGATCTTTTTAAACAGGGAAATGATGTTCTAGAATCAGGAAACCCGGAGCCTCCTAGTCCTAATCTGCCGAACCTTACTATATCTCCAACAGGGGGAGAAATCCTACCAACGGTTCCAAAAAAAACGGAATCCTGAGCTTCTGGTTTATAACAGGAAAAAGACTCATCAAAAGAGTAAAGAGCCTACTATTGTACCTGAGCAAGGCCAATCAGAGGTCCGGAGCAATGACTCCCTGAACACTCAAGGTACTATAAATCCTAACTTGTCTGTAGTTGTCCCTACTATTTCTGATTGTACAGAGTCACCTAGCCAAGTTCCTGTAGACCTTGATAACCCTATAGCTGTTAGAAAAGGAATCTGAACCTATACCCAGCATCCCATTGCCAAATACTTGTCTTATGATAAACTTTCTCATAAACATAGGGCCTTTACTTCAAATATTTCTCACTTGTTTGTTCCAAGAAACATTCAGGAAGCACTAGATGATCCGAACTGGAAATCAGCAGTGTTAGAGGAGATGAATGCTCTTCAAAGGAGTGGAACGTGGGAGATAGTTGACTTGCCCAAAGGAAAGAAAACTGTTGGGTGTAATAGGTTTTCACTATTAAGTGTAAAGCTGATGGTAGTGTGGAAAGGTACAAGGCAAGACTTATGGCGAAAGGTTTTACGCAAACGTTGATTATCAAGAGACGTTTGCTCCTGTAGCAAAAATAAATTATATCCGAGTCTTATTGTTGTTGGCAGTCAATTCTAACTGGCCATTACATCAGTTGGACATAAAAAATGCCTTTTTAAATGGAGACTTGGAAGAGGAAGTGTTTATGAGCTTGCCACCTGGGTTCAAAGGAAAACACGGTCAGAGCAAAGTCTGTAAACTCAAAAAATCCCTGTACGGTTTGAAACAGTCTCTAAGAGCGTGGTTTGAACGCTTTGGAAAGGCTGTGAAGAGTCATGGGTATCATCAGAGTGAGGCAAACCAAACCATTTTCTACAAACACGGTGAGGAAGGGAAAATTGCCGTTTTAATTGTGTAGGTGGATGATATAATTTTGACAGGTGATGACATTGAAGAGTTGACCAGACTGAAGAAGAAACTTGCTAAAGATTTTGAAGTCAAAGATTTGGGAGCATTAAAATACTTCCTTGGAATGGAATTTGCCCGGTCAAGAGAAGGAATTTTCATGAATCAACGAAAATATGTACTTGATTTGCTTAATGAGACAGGAGGACTACTCGGGTGTAAAGCTGCTGACACTCCAATTGAAGTCAACCTAAAGTTAGAAGTTGCTGAACCCAAGAATATGGTTGATCGTGAAAGATATCAAAGATTGGTGGGAAGACTAATTTACTTATCTCACACACGCCCAGATATAGCATTTGCAGTCAGTATGGTAAGTCAGTTCATGCACTCTCCTGGACAGGAACACTTTGAAGTAGTGTACAGGATTCTGAGGTACGTAAAGGGCTCACCAGGTAAAGGACTTATGTTCAAGAAACAAGGTCATTTGCAAGTGGAGGTGTACACAGATGCTGATTGGGCAGGCAGTATGGTTGATAGATGATCTACCTCAGGATATTGCACCTTCGTTGGAGGAAATTTAGTCACGTGGCGAAGCAAGAAACAAAATGTAGTAGCGAGGAGTAGTACAGAAGCTGAGTTCAGAGCACTCGCCCATGGGATTTGCAAAGCTATGTGGTTAAAAAGACTCCTTGAAGAATTGAAGGTTACTGTTTCTCCTCCAATGAGAGTCTACTGTGACAACAAGGCTGCCATTTCAATTGATCATAATCCAGTCCTCCACGATAGAACCAAACATGTGGAAGTTGACAAACACTTGATCAAGGAAAAGCTTGACTGTGGTATGATTTGCACCTTCGTTGGAGGAAATTTAGTCACGTGGCGAAGCAAGAAACAAAATGTAGTAGCGAGGAGTAGTACAGAAGCTGAGTTCAGAGCACTCGCCCATGGGATTTGCAAAGCTATGTGGTTAAAAAGACTCCTTGAAGAATTGAAGGTTACTGTTTCTCCTCCAATGAGAGTCTACTGTGACAACAAGGCTGCCATTTCAATTGATCATAATCCAGTCCTCCACGATAGAACCAAACATGTGGAAGTTGACAAAAACTTGATCAAGGAAAAGCTTGACTGTGGTATGATTTGCATTCCTTATCTCTCTACTATTGAACAAGCTGCAGACATTCTTACCAAAGGACTACACAAGAGACAGTTTGAAGTTTTAAGAAGCAAGCTAGCTATGGAAGACATCTACAAGCCAGCTTGAGGGGGAGTGTTGAAAAAGAGATATTCGGTTTTAATAAGACCAGATTTTAGGGGATATCATAAGCGTGTAAATATAGATAGTCAATGACTAAGATTAGGAAATTTTGTTAGTGTACAGCCTGTAGTTTCCTGTTACAGCCTGTAGTTTCCTTTTTTTAGCTCCTTGTATTTCCTATTTAACTAAAACATTGTAAACCATTCTTTGTAGGGCAATATACAGATTCTTTTCAATCTTGAAATCGCTTATTATTTACTCTGTGGAGGAGAGTTCTTCTCAACCGAGAGGGAATGATGAAGAACTAGGCCTAGCCCGAGAACTTGAAGTCCATACGGCCCATGCCTATTATTGGAGACGTGGGAAGGAAAGATACAATTAGGGATTTTGACTTTTATTAGTATTATTATTTGATTTTAGGATTTCTATTTATGGTAATAGTTTGATTAGGGTTTTTCTTCGATCCCTATATAAGGTTGGTTAAGACATTGTGAAAGACAGCTTTTGGTGATTATTATTGATATTGAATTTAGAGATTATCGTGATTTCATCTCCCTCTGAATTCTTCTTCTCTTCTGATTCCTCTTCCCTCTATTCGTCTTCCCTTTCTCTCTCAATCTCTTTCTGATTCTACTTGAATTCTGATTTCAAATCGCCCCTACCCGCTGCTGCATCACTACGTTAGTGGCTCATTTGCGAGATCGTGGGAGTGAGTTTGAGGTTTGCGCCAGCTGGGCTCATTCGTGTTCAAATTCATAATTAGGAGTGAGTTTGAGAAGGTCAACGACCAGGTCTTAGCAAAGGTGAACACAAGTATGTGTCAGAGTTGGTGCAACTTTACTTTGATATAGTGGATTACTTTGCTCTAGACTACGGTCTCGTGGTTTTTCCTTGTTAAGCTTTCCCACATAAAAAACCTGGAGTCTCTCCTCCTCCCTCACTCTTTTCTTTATCGGCTTTTATTACATGTGTGTGATTGACTAATTAATTAATTGAATGAAATTATCAACTTAATAATAATGAAAATTAAAATCAATCAAGAGAGCAAATAGACCTATTCACCCCTCTAGGTCTTATAAATTTCAGGCGGCTTACTTTCAAGTTGCATAAGAACATAGTGTGTATAAGCATCAATACCACTGAGATATGCTTTAACCTATAATTGATGCTTATGTATGCATGTAGATACACAGGGAGCGCTTTTTATTCACCTTTACAAGGAGAGTACTTGGGGCCAATATAGAATAAGCATCAATACCATTGAGATATGCTTTAACCTCAGGAATTCCAGAACCTGCTGCTGCTGGAGCAATGAAAGCGCAAAGAGCTGCCGCAGCAGCTGCCAACCCTATGTTGCAACCAGCAAATGTTGCAAAAGCCTTGAAATATCTGCTCTCGAAACAATATAATGTCAGGTGATGTATAACACATATTCCGTTTGATTTGAAAACCAAAATGGCAAACAATATTGATGGGTTTTCATCAAATATCATGTCAGGTGATGCATAACACAGCATATTCTGTTTCATGTGAAAACCAATGGCCGGAAGTTATATAGCAACTATATTAAGTTTAAAGATAAGCAATGCACGGAGAAACTTCCAACAGGGACTAAATGTTCTGTAAGAAAAAAAAAAACACTTGTGGGAAGGAAAGGTAAAAAAAGTCCTGCCTAACTGTAACTATAAAAACTAATATAACTTGTATATACAACTATACAAGCTACCATTCGACCAGGAGCTCTGCAGAATTTAAGGGTAAGATTCAATAAATTCTACGACACTCTGTAAAACTACTACATATCAGAGCATTGAGATACCGAATACACAGAAGTGAAAAATAGAGCCGACTGTGACAGGTGCTGACATCATCACCATTTGACTTTGGACACCTTGATCAGAAATGTCTACCTCTGCTGGACCTGCTGGAGATAATCGTGACAATTGGATTTCATTTGAGTGGTCTTCAGCTTGTTTTGTTACAATATAAAAAAAACAGCTTGAAAATCTTAGATCTGCAAATCCTAGCAGTATTAGAAGTTTTTCATCAATTGTTTCTTATTTTACCATTTCTTGCATTAGAAATCACATGTAGATGAGTTTTTCGGTGTTTTCGGTATGTAGGTTGCTGCTATGGGTTATCCTAGCTTGCTTTTTTCACTTTTTCTTTGTTTTTTTTTTTTCAATTTTCCCTGCTGCTTTTGGTTCCTGCAGGAATTAGTCCCTACATCACTAATTATGGTGTCAAATTTTCCCATGTATCACCTTGTAAGGTATGCAGGCAATGCGCAAGAAACTTAAATAGGAAAGAAAGAAAATGGATGTGTGTGTGTGTGTTTATTTGTGTGTGTGTATAAGAGAGAGAGAGAGCATGAAGCATGGAGGTGGCTCCTCCAGATATATAATTAATAGAAACAAGATAAATTACATATCTACCCTGTAGTAAAATTAATATCTCTTTATCTCTTTCCTTCAAGTTGGAGCACATAAAGAAAACCAACTACATATTTCTCTTTAGACAGGATGCAACAACTTTTTTAACCATCTATATATTCGCTGACTGGCAGAAGCAGAGATCAAGTTGTATCATCTAGCTTGAACCTGGGTCAGAGTCAACTAGGGGATTGCTGAATTGGAGCCAGGTCAACCGAGTTGTGTACCTTTCTTCTTATTACCGGATTGGGTCCCATGGTTTTTTTTTCCTGTTGTAGGTTTTCCATGTAAAAATCATGTGTTTTATATGTGGATCCTAGAATATTTATCTTTGCACTCTATACTTCGAATAATTTTACTGCTGCATTTTAATATACTTGCTAGAATTTAAATTGGTTTAAATTGGTTATTATTAATTAAAAATTGAACAAGATCTATCACCTATAGAAGCACCAAATTTAACCCTCCTAGAAGAGTCTCACGACAGCAGAGATCCAATCCCCTTAAAAACAGAGATATGGAAGGAGAAATTCAATGCAATATTAATGCACGAGATATAAGAGAGATTCAAGGCAATATTGGTGCACCTACCTAATGAGTTAGCAGATTTGACACACAAGGAAACAATCAATCTTCACCTTGATTTCCTCATCTAAATATTGCTACCATATCACCTTTCCTTTTGTATAATTTTGACTTGTAATATATATACAAGTGTATCATCACCATCATTGATTGATATAGAAGAAATCCATATTTCTGAAAACCCTTTTCCTCTCCTTTCTTCACTCAGAGTTATTCTTCTTTATGGTATCAGAGCCATAGCTGTCGCATAAAAGGGTTATTTTTTCTTTCTTTTCTTCTTCTCCTCCAATGGCTTTATATCCCAACCCATCAACTTTGAATGTTGTCAATTTTGTTTCTCTTAAAGTTGACATCTACAAGCTATCTATTGTCAGAAACACAAGTTTTGTCTTTGATTGAAAGTCAAGACCTACTTGGTTTCATCACCGGAAAAATCCAGCCTCCAGATCATGAAATTTTGACAGAAGAAAGAGAAAGGGTTCCTAATCCTCTTTTCGCTGCGTGGACACGAACCGACCGGCTGGTTAAAGCCTAGATCACATAAACACTCACAGAAGAGGTTCTAGGACTGGTTTTTGGCCTTAAAATATCTGCAGATGTCTAGAAAGCTTTAGCCAATGCCTACTCCCAAGATTCACAAGCCAGGGAATTTGAGCTTCTTCTAAAACTTCAGTACATAAAGAAGGGATCTTCTTCACTGAATGAATATCTCCGTGAATTCAAGTCCGTATGTGATCAGCTCAATGCTATTGGGAAACCCATTTCAGATCAGAACAAGGTTTTCTGGCTTTTAAGTGGGCTCGACCCCAAGTATGAGTCCTTCTCTACTGCTATGTTAAAGCCTCCCGTTCCATCTTATGCTGATTTGATCCCATTACTTCAAAGTCATGAGCTAAGAAGTAAGAGACATAATGATGAAGCGGCAGATCACACCATGGCCTTTATTTCTCAGAAAACTGGAAATCACAACACAAGCAGGAGAGGTGGTGGTCAATTCTTCTCATCAAAGGGAAGAGGCTTTACTCAAACCACTCACCGACGAGAAGCTGATGACGAGCAAATTCACAAGACAAGACAAAAATACTGGGCAAGGACGTTCAGAAAGCTCTATTATTGTATGCCAAATTTGCAAAAGATGTGGACACAATGCTCTTAAATGCTGGCATAGATTTGAAAACAGCTATCAAGCAGAAGATATCCCACAAGCCCTTGCTGCCATGCAGATAAGCAACTCTCCTGATGATGATTGGTATCCAGATACCAGTGCATCTTCACATATTACAAGTGATCCAGGTAAACTTACAAATCCTATACCTTATAAGGGCACTGATCCTGTTATGTTTGGGAATGGGAATCACTTACCTATCACTCATATAGGAGATGGAAGAATTTTTTGTGCAAAGAATTCTATACCTTTAAGGGGCATTTTATTGGTCCCTAATACTGCAAAAAATCTCTTATCTGTTTCTCAGTTGACTTCTGATTATCCTTACACTTTTGAGTTTAATGCTAATGGATTCGTTATTAAGGACATGACAACGGGAAAGATACTAGCATTCGGAACTAAGAAGGAAGGTCTCTATGCATTGAATGAATCTCAGAATAAAGCCACTGCTCTTTTTTCAAATCCTTTTTGTTAACTACCATCTACTCCAAAAGCTTAAGCTGTTAGAGAGGGTGTAACTTAAATATATAAATCCTTCAACACGCCCCCTCACATGTGGGCTTCTTTTGGTCCAACACATGTTTTTCAACTTTTTAATTAGGGTGACAGTGAGGTTTGAACTCGAGACTTTGGCTTTGATACCATGTTAACTACCATCTACTACAAAAGCTTAAGCTATTAGAGAGGGAGTAACTTAAATATATAAATCCTTCAACAGTTTTCAAGCTTCGAATGAACAGACTTGGTCATCCACAAGATCGAGTTTTGAAGTTTTTGAATTCTAATAATCAGATTTTGGTAACTAAGAAGGCACATGGATTATGCACTAGTTGTCAGCTTAGTAAAAGTTCTAAGTTGCCTTTTTATCCTTCAATCAACAAGTCGTTAGAACCACTTAATAAAATTCATTGTGATTTATGGGGTCCATCTCCTTCATCCTCTACTCAAGGTTGTATGATGTTGTGTTCATTGATGACTTTTCTCGATATTGTTGGTTCTATCCTTTAAAAAAGAAAAGTGACATTTTCTCTACTTTTCTGGCTTTTCAAAGTATGATAGAAAAACTTGGGAAAGAGATTAAAATATTTCAATCTGATGGTGGAGGAGAATTCAGTCTGAAAGAATTTTTGCATCATTTGACTAAGAAAGGCATTATACATTAAATATCAAGTCCATGCACTCCAGAACAGAATGGTGTTGCAGAATGCAAACACCGTCACATTGTTTAACTTGGATTAGCTATGCTTCTACAAGCATCTGCTCCAAAACAATATTGGGTAGAAGCCTTTTCTATGGCCAATTTCTTGATTAATAGGCTTCCTTCAACAGCCTTGCATATGAAATGTCCTTATTTTCAACTATATGGAAAACAACCAAATTATACCATGCTTCGTACTTTTGGTTGTCGTTGCTTCCCTTATTTGAGGAAATATGCCTCGAATAAACTTGAACCACGATCTTTACCTTGTGTTGGAGATTTCCCATCTTTTATTTGCGGATGATACTATGGTTTTTTGCGAGGATGAGGTGTCTCAGATGAGATATTTGAGGTCGGTGTTGACCTGTTTTCAGGCAGTCTCGGGTTTGAAAGTGAATGTGGGGAAGAGCGCTTTGATTCCAGTGGGGGAGGTTTAGGATATCGAGGAGTTAGCTTATGTTCTTGGTTGTGGAGTCCGTTCTTTTCCGATCTCTTACTTGGGTTTGCCTCTGAGGGTTTCTTCGAAGATTGTAGGTGCTTGGGATCCGGTGGTGGAGAGGGTGGAGAGGAGGCTTGCGAAGTGGAAGAAGCAATATTTATCAAAAGGTGGGAGGGTTACCTTGTTCAAAAGCACTTTGTCAAGCATTCCTACATATTTTCTATCCCTTTTCTAGATTCTGTCCTCAGTAGCTGCTTGTATTTCAGACTTCAAAGGAACTTCTTACGGGGAGGTTTGGGTGATGAGTTTAAGTATCATCTGGTTCGTTAGGAGCGGGTGTGTAAGCCTGTTAAGTTCGGAAGAATAGGGATCAAGAGACTGCTACTTTTTAACAAGGCCCTTTTAGGTAAGTGGTTGTGGAGGTTTGGTATTGAGCGGGATAGGTTGTGGAGGAGGGTTATCTTGTGTCGCTTTGGGAAGGAGAGGGGGGGTGGTGCTCTGTTTTGGTGTCTCTTCCTGGAGGCGTTGGTGTTTGGAAAGCCATTCGGAAGGGATGGAATAAGTTTTCTA